ACGCCCGGGAGCGGGGTGCTGCCGCGCGCTCCCAGGGCTGCGCGCTCCCTGTTCCCACGCGAGGAGTGGAAACATTTTCAAAAACAGATTGCAACTTTTAAAGTGTTAATTGGATCTCTTTCTAATCTAGCCCTGATTATACACACACGCGCGAACACAAAAACTTACAGTCATCTGTTCCAAGGGCTAAGATCACTATTTTTTTATAATGCAATTTAAAAATCTATTAATTCATTACATTGAGGCATACTCTGCATCTCTCTCCAACAGGATAATGGAAGCGTTCTGTATCATAATTACAGCCTGATTTACCAACGAGTACAAATAAAATTAGAAGACATTTTACAGCTTGGAACACAGACTGGATTGTGAGCATCATCCAAGTCCTACCGCTTTCGGCTTTAACAAGTGGGAAAGGCTACGAAGAGCCTGGGATCTCACAGCGACAGCAGCAGCACGAGGCTGCTGCCGGCCTTTGCTTGCTCGCTGCTTTGGACAGGAAAGTCAAGGTCTTTTAAATTATTTCCCCAGCCGGAGTCGGGCAGAATCAGAGAATAATTTAGGCTGGAAGCGACCTCGGCAGGCCACAGCCCTGAAAGCAGAGAGGTTTCCCCAGGGCAAGCGGGCACCGTGCGGATGAAACACCGCACGAGCTGGGCAGAGGATGCCGCTAACGACAGGGACCAGAGCAGCAGCGGCTCCCAAGTGTTTCTTGCTCAGGAGAGCACCCGGTCCATCACTCTCCTTCCAGGCTGGGTCTGCCCAGGATCTGCCCATACGGCCTGTCCCACGGAAGGCACTTGGCCTTGCTCAGAGAGGGACCAGAGACTCGCTCTTCCTTCAGATCTCTTTTTCAAACTTTCCTTCCATCAGCCCAATTAACAGCGAAAAGGGAAAGTCCAAGCAGCACAACACAGAGGCTTGGGAAAGGTCAGGCTCTCCTGCAAGCAAGCTATTCCCAAACACCACGGGGAGATGTGTGTGCACACACGACAACAACCCGAACTGCTGGGTGAACTGGGAGCCCACCCTCACGACCCCCTCCCCGCCGGAGGAGGGACCCCTCGGCTCCGTGCTGGGCAGCCGGGTGCCCACACCCCCCGCGCGACAGCCTGCCTGGCGCGCAATGCCTCCAGGAGATGCTGGGAA